ATCACCGGGTATGACTCCAAAATCTGCACTGTCCACTGTCCTTCCTTTGTTCATTGATTTGCTCAAGTGGGCACCAGTAACGTCTCCATTGTGAAACTTGTTGTTACTGTTTTTGGCATATCGAATACGCCACGGGGAGCTTGTCAGGATATGCTGTGCTGGCGGGATACTTTTGGTAGCTTGCCGGACTCTCCGAGAGGGACGGAGGGATCGAACCCAGGTCAGCCGTGTGCAAGGCAAATGCTCTACCCGCTGTACTATCATTCCAGTCCCTGGATTGTCGTAGTTTAGTGGTAGACCATTTGCACTTGTCCTGGGTTCATTCCCCAGCAAGGTAAAAAGTCCAAATTAATAAAGAACAAAAGCAACAGCAACAAAACCCTACACAAAAAATCCAATATGAGAATAAAAAATTACCAGAATTCACGTTCAATTTTCTTCTTTTGTGGGGGAAATGAGGGGGCTGTTCTTGCCCCTATGCTCAGGAGTGCCCCCTGGTGGTGCTAGGCAAGAGCCACTGCCTTGGCACTTTTCCAGCCTGCCTCCTTCAGCCTCTCATTTAAAAAACAAACAGGGCTTTCCAGAATGCTACAAATTTACTATTTGCTGCTGCTCTTTGACCTTTGTTATAGTTACATTGTGTCAGGGAAACTTGGTATTCCTCCTATTTTCCTCCTTCCTTTAGCTTCTAATGGACGTCCAAAGGTGGGAAAGTACCACCCAGGGGGCCCCTGCTCCTCTTTGAGGTACATGACTGTGGTAAGGCCATAGAGCTCATCATTTCTGTCCCAAACCAGCCCCTGTCCCAGCTTCCCAAGCCTGCAGAGCTTCTCTGTGATCTGTCCCTCTCCAAGTCCCCCTTCCTGGTCCACTCCAGGTCCTGCCAATCTCTTTCTTTCCGTGGTGTTCCATGCTCAGCACCCTGCTTATGGGCTGCAGAAATCCCTGCATGCGGGGAACTGAGAGGCCAGGGCCTTTGCCCCAACCTCCCTGGCGGTTCCACTGCTCCTTGGGCTCTGCATTGGAAGCGAGCAGCATTATGGAGACGTGGCCAGTGCCAAGTGTTGGTGGTATGACCCGGGTGGGCCGGGCCTTGTGCCCGGAAGCAGCAGACATCCCGTCTTCACAGATCCAGTTTTGTGGCTTGACTTGAACATTCCCCGGTTTCACCGTCTCGGAACCTGGCTTGGGGACACTCCCAGAGATTCTGAGAGTTCAAAGCAGGCCATGTTGGTTTGCAACCAAGAACCTGAGAAAGAAATTAGAGGTAGGGCCAGGGAAACGGCTCCCAGGGCAGAAGCACGCGCTCAGGGCTGGGTGTTGCAGCTAAATGCAAGGCCTTAGTCCCCGAGCTTTTGTGCTGTATCTCCAGCCCAACAGAAGGTATCAGAAGGAAGTGAACAGAGGCACTTGGAATTATTTATTTTTTTGTGACTCCTGGGTCAGTTGCATCATTCTGGGGACCATGCACGTGGCCTGTTGCATCCTACCCACTGTACTATCACTCTGGGCCCTGGAAATGGTCTTGAAAGGCTGTCTTTTCAGTGGCAATGCTGAGTTGGACTGTCTCGAGAGAGGCTCTATATCAGTCTCTTTTTTTGGCCATATTCAGCAGTACTTAGGGTTTATTCCTGGCTCTGGGCTCAGGTCTCATGTCTGGTGAGGTTCAGGAGACTATATGGGGGGCCAGAGAGATACTATAGTGGGTAGGGCGTATGCCTGGCATCTCATATGGTCCCCTGAGCAATGCCAGGAGTAAGCCTTGAGCACTGCTGGGTGTGACTCAAAAAGCCAAAAATAAGTAAGTGAAGGAGACCACATGGGGTGGCAGGTCCCATGCAGGACAAACGCCTTACCCTCTGTCCCCTCCCTCTATACCAATTCTTGAGCCAGGAGGGAAGAGGCTCAGGTTGGTGACAAGGATCTTTGGGAGAGAGGATGTAGACAAAATGAGAGCATTTATGTTCTACATGGATGCTTCCCAAAGTGGCTCCGCTGAAACAGCTCGACTGAATCGGTGGACAGGAAGGCTCCCCCTGTGAAAAAGGTAAGTTCTTTCCCTAGTTAAGGTCCCATCTGCTTACGGGGCTGAAGAATGAAACAGCTCTAGGGCTGGATAGATACTACAGCAGGTAAGGCTGACTCTTTTCTCTGTGCTTAGGGATCACTCCTGGCAGGGATCTAGAGGACCATATAGGGTGTCAGGGGCAGGACTCAGGTTGGCTGCATGTGTGGCAAGCATCCTACCTGCTGTGCTCTCTGGCCCCATTGTTTTGGTTATGAGGCCACACCATGCACATGGGGGGCTGCTACTCTCTGCCTGGTGCTTGGGACTTGCTCCTGAATGAGCTCAGGGGACCACACGGTGCTGGGAATTGAATCCAAGGCTTCAAACAGGCAAGACAAGTGCTCTACCACTGAGTCACAGTCCTAGCCTGAACTACATTTCTTTGCACAGTCTTAAGTGGTGTTAGTTTTTTTTTTTTGCTCACCCCCTCCCCCGCCAGTGATGCTCAGGGGTTTCTTCTGGTTCTGGGTGTGACCCCAAAAGCCAAAAAATAAAAAAGCTAAAACCTTAACACTATTGTAAACATGTAACCTGAACTATATTAAAAAACATTTTTTTCAAAGCTTTCTCCTTAAACCTCTGTTCTCCCTTGAATACATAGCTCACTTGTTTGTTACTCAGCTTGATCATTTTCACTCTGGAGAAGCCTGTGCTCTCTCTTGAATGTGTACTTCTCCCTTTTCTCTCCCCTCACATCCTTCTAAATAAGCCTCAATAAAAACTACCTTGCTTCACCCCCCCTCAAATAAATTAATAATTTAAAACTGACATAGTGGGCCCAGGAATGAGGCTCAGTAGATCACTTGCCTTGAATGTATGAGGAATTGGGTTCCAATCCCAGCTATTAAAAAAAAAAGAGACTTAGTAGCCTATATTTAAATATCAAGGGATGGGGCCCCAAGTGCTAATACAGTAAGGAGCTAGCCTTGCTCACTGCTGACCACTGTGGTTTGGTCCCCAGCAACCTCTTTGGTCCCTGAGCAAAGAGCCAGATGAAAGCCCTAAGCAGAGCCAGGTTCGACCCTCAAACGCCAAAATAAGTAAACAAATATTGAGGGAAAGGGCCTGATAGTACAGTGGGCAAGGTGTTGCCTTGCATGCAGCCAACCTGGGTTCAATCCTTGGCACCCCAAGCTCCTTCAGGAGTGACTTCTGAGTACAGAGTCAGGAATGACCCCAAAACCAAAATAAATAAAAAAAAATCAAGGGCTGGAAAAGAAGCACCAGGGTTAAGACCTTCCCTTCCAAGAGGTTTGATCCTGGCACCACATGGTCCCCTGAATACAGTGCCAGGAATAGTCCCTGCACCCAGGTATGGTCCAAGCCTCTGATTTTGCGAAAATAAAATAAAACAAAAATCAAGAGATTTACTATGAAGTGCATGAAGATATGAAGTCCCGTATCTTGGAAAACCAGGCGCAGTGGCCGTTTCAGTCGGCATTCTCACAGTGAACCACTTACAAATAAAACAGACGTGACCCCACTGGCCAGATCCCTTGCCAGCCCTCCTCATTCCCGTCCCTTACTCATCTGGACACGGAAGGCATTTAAACTTGCCACCCTGGGTCCGCGACCCAATCGCGAGGGATGAATCCACTTGGCAATGGATGGCTTGCATTTTCACTTCCGTCCACACAGACTCCTTGCCCGTCTAGCCCGAGCCCCGCGCCTGTCGAAGGACAGAGCCCTAAGAACTTTCCACTGAAATAAATCCCTTCCTTGCTCGTCGCCTACTTGAGTCAGAGCTCATTTGTTTCCCAAACTTTCCTGTCCCTTCCTGAGCTGACCTTTGCTGCCATGCGTGTACCCTGGATTGGATGGAGAGTGTGCGTGTATCTGTGTCTGGGGGGCGTGGGGCGTGGATGTGCCTAAAATTTCATCACCCGGGGGCGTTGTTCCCTGGGGGTAAGCCCAGACCTGGTGACTTTCAGGGAAAGAGGAGAAAGTGATTGTCCCCGGAACTGAAACACATTATCAGGGAGGCGGCCCCCTGCGCACAGGGGCACCAGTCCGGGCTCCGCCGGCTGGGGTGTCCGCGGGGGCGCGGGCCAAAGGCGTCTGGGTGGAGGCACGGGGGCAGAGCGAGCGGACCCCCAGGCCGGGCCCTGCCGGCTTCCCGGGTGGGCTCGGGCGCCGGAAGCTCCCCGGCAGCTGTCAGCGGGACCCCTGCAGGATCCCCAGGACCCAGCCTGGCCAAGTCTCACGTGTCGGGGTCGGGGGCGCGCCGGGCCCGCTCTCCAGCCCGCTGGCCTGGCCGGCTGGCGCTGGCCGGCCCTCGGCCCCTCTGCCGACCCCCAAACTTCTTTCGGAGCCTCGTTTCGAAACGGGGCGGCAGCGGGGATGACTTCGGGGACTCCCTGGCACCGCCTGGCCGGGTCCGGGAGCGGGAAGGAGGCCCCGTGGGGCTCGAGTTCCGGCGGGGGGCGTGCGGGGGTCAGGCGGCTCGCTCCCTCGCCCTCTCTCCCTCCGGAGCCCCTCGGAAAGGGGCGCTCCGGGGCCCGGGGGCCCGGGGGGCGCGGCGGGCGGGGGGGAGAGAGGGCGGGCGGCGCGGCGCGGCGCGGCGCGGCGCCCCGGCGCTCCCCGCCCCCGAGCCGGCGCTCCCGCGCTCCCCCTAGCGGCCGCCGCGCCGCCTCGCTCGGGCCCGGGCTCGGCGGCGGCGCAGCTCACGTGACCGCGCTCCGGGCCTGCGGCCGCGCTCGGTTCCCCCAGTCACCGAGCGAGAGGGAAGCAACAAGATGGCGGCTGCAGGCGCTCCGGAGCGGGGCCGCGGCCGTTCGGACTGAGCCTTCGCCCGCCGCCGCCGCGCCCGCCGGCCGCGCCCCGCCCGCCGCCGCCGCCGCCGCCGCCGCCCGGCCCGGCGCCCCCCGCGCCGCGCCCCTCCCCCGCGCCGCCCTTCCCCCGCGCCCGCCGCCCCCGCCGCCGCGCCGCCGACATGAGGGGCCGGCGGGGCAGGCCGCCCAAGCAGCCCGCGGCGCCCGCCGCCGAGCGCTGCGCCCCGGCCCCGCCGCCGCCGCCGCCGCCGCCGCCCGCGTCGGGGCCCATCGGGGGGCTGCGCTCGCGCCACCGCGGCAGCAGCCGGGGCAGGTGGGCCGCCGCCCAGGCGGAGCTGGCGCCCCGGACGCGCCTCAGCTCGCCCCGGGGGGGCGGCAGCAGCCGGAGGAAGCCGCCGCCGCCGCCGGTCGCCCCCCACGGCAGCGGCGGCGGCGGCGGCGGCGGCGGCGGTAGCGGCGGCGGCGGCGGCGGCAGCGGCGGCGGCGGCGGCGGCGGCGGCCCGGGCCGGGGGGGCCGAGGAGGCGGGGGCGGCAGGGCGGGGGGCGGGGGCGGCCACCTGGCCCGGACCACCGCGGCCCGGAGGAGCGTCAACAAAGTGGTGTACGATGACCACGAGAGCGAGGAGGAGGAGGAGGAGGAGGACATGGTCTCGGAGGAGGAGGAGGAGGAGGAGGAGGACGGCGAGGCCGAGGAGACCCAGGATTCCGAGGACGACGAGGAAGACGAGATGGACGAGGACGACGAGGACTCCGACTACCCGGAGGAGATGGAAGACGACGACGACGACGCCAGCTACTGCACGGAGAGCAGCTTCAGGAGCCATAGCACCTACAGCAGCACGCCAGGTACCGCCCAGCCCCGCCGCGGCCGCCCCTCCCCTCCCCCTCGCGCGCGCCCTCCGCGCCCCCCGGCCCCCCCGCCGCCGCCGGGGCGCCCCCCGCGCCCCCGGCCCGAGGGGCACCGCCGCGGCCCCTCGGGCGGCCGGGAAAGTCGGTTTCCCCCAGGAAAGAGGCGCATTGTTCAAAATGGAGATTGCATTGTTGCAGTTCGCAGGCCCCGCTCGCCGGCTCCGGGCGCTCGCCTTTCCTCCCTCCGCCACCTCCCCGGCCCGCACCCCGGCCCCCTGTGCTCCCCACCTCGTCCCCCTCCCCGCTAGTTTTATTTTTTTCTTCCCTCTGCAAAACGCGTGCCAGGGCACCGTCTCCTCCACCGGGCACGACTGAAACTTTGGCACGCAACATCCCCATCGCCTTCTTTTTTTTTTTTCCTCTGCCCTTGTTTTGGTTGGGGGAATGAAAGAAGCCTCTTGTGTTTTTTTTTTTTTTTTGCAAACCTCTTTGCATTTCTAGTGCGCTTTCTCTTCGCTTGCTTTTCTCTCTTTTATTTTTTTTAAAAAAATTTTATTATCGAACCCTGCCGTGCTGGTCGGGAATGGGTGGCTTTGGAGCCAGGCCCCGGGTGGGGGTGTGTGTGGTGGCACCGAACGCGGCCCAGAGCGCGCCGCTGCCCCGTAACGCGCACCCCGAGCCGTGTGCTTGGGAGAAGTGGGGTGGGGAAGTGAGCGTGTCGGAGCCGGGTGGGGGGGCGTGCGCCGGGCGCCTGCTTAGAACGCCCAGCGGAAGCCCCAGCAGCGCCGGGGTGCGTTTGGTCAGGCGTCCGGTTCCGAGGCGTTCGGGTTTGGGTCCGCGGGAAGAGTTCCGAGTCGGCCCGAGCGGGCGTCTTGAACTCGTGGGAGCCCCGGGCTCCGCCTGCGCAGTGCGCACACCTGTTGCAGACGGTTTGTGCAGGGCTGCGGGGGAACTTGCGGACCCACTCCCAAGTCACACAACAGAAGCCCCGGGTTCCTCCCCCCCCCAAAAAAAAAAAGTCGTGTGCTTGCTTTTTTTCCGGGGGCGGGGGTAGGTTGCCTTTCTGGGCCTGAAAAGCCCTCCCTGCATCTGTCAGGAATTTCTCCTCAGTGACTCCTGTATTTCTCGGAAGAAGTTTCTCCGGACTGATGCTGAGATGCGTTTTGTTTAACGCACACGCACGTGTACACTCATGCCCCCGCACGCTCCTCTGTGGTTTGACTGTACAGTGGAAAACAACTTGTCGTAAAGGCAGACAGATTTTTTTTATTTCTTTATATTTTTGTTACTCTGTATTCACTTAATTAGAATCCAGATATAAGAGCTTTTACAAAGGTTAAGAGGAAATAGAATTTGAAAAAAAAAATGAAGGGAAGTCACTTGTCTTTAAGGGCAGTGAGGGTTGGGCTGGAGTGCTAATTCCCTGGGTAGGGCGCTTGCCTTGCACTTGGGCGACCTGGGTTGGATCCCAGTGATCCTGGACCTGAGCACCGCTGGGTGTGGCCCTAGCCCGGAGCTGAGTGCAGAGCCAGGAGTAAGCCCTGAGCTCCACCGGGTGTGGTCCCCCAGCCCTGAGCTGAGTGAGCACAGAGCCAGGAATAAGCCCTGAGCACTCTCGGGTGTGGCCCCAAATCCAAAAAGAAAAAAAGAAAGGCAGGAGTAGTAGATATGGTTTAATTCAAATGTTTCTATTTTTTGGTAACAATGTAAATATCTTGTGGAGCTAGGAGTCTTAAGCCCTGTGTATGTAATTACAAGGCTTAGTGAGATTGTCCTAACAGGAAAGAAAAAAGGGATTTTTTTTTACACGTGGCAGGAAGAAGACCTTGGGTTTGTGTGAGGGAGGCTGGCAGGAAGATGCAGGGAAGAAACTGGGGTCAGACATTTGTGTCTTAGGTGTAGAAGGGATTGTGTGCCAGTTGGCATTTCTTGCCAAGAGAATTTTATCGTGAATTTACATCGTTCATAGTAACAGTTCTTACCTTAAGGAAATATGTTGATTCTCCTAAGAGCTTGGAATTGTGGACCAGAGGAGACTGAATTACTCTATTAGAGGAAGTTTTCCAGGGTAGACAAAGCCAAAGTCTTAGTTTTTGCTACACCCAGCAGTGCTCAGGGGTTACTCTTGGCTCTACACTCAAGAATCATTCCTGGTGGTGTTGGGGGTTTGTGGGCACCCTATGGGATACCCGAGATGGAACCTGGGTTGAGTGCTTGCAAGGTACACGTCCTACCCACTGTGCTGTGGCTCTGACCTTAAAGCCAAGGCATTTTGGCAAGACAGTTCGCTGAACTTCTAACACTTGAGGGTCTGGCACATAATTTTAGGATTTGTTTTGTTTTGGGGCCACACCTGGTGATGCTCAGTATTGACTCCTGGCTCCTAGCTCAGGGATCATGCCTGGCAGGCCTTGGGGGAACCATATGTGGTGCCTGGGTTGACTGTGTGCAAGGCAAACTCCCTGCCCACTGTACTATCACTCCAGCCCCTAATTTAAGGATTGATGTTTGTGCCTGTGCTGAATTAAATAGCCACTTGTGATTAGGTTTCATTTTTTAAGAATACATTTGTGGATTCCCCTGAACCATTGGCTTTCAGAATGACACCAATAGTGTTCCTGGTGTCTGCTTGTTTTGTGAGTTCTGTGTGCCTGAGTTAAGTTTTTAGTCTGTCTCAGCCCTACACCGTGCATTACACAAAGCCTGTGCTCACACAGATTGATTGCACACAACAGTGTTTGTGCGTGGAAACTGGGGTAGGTGACATTGGCCAATGGGGTTGGGGCCCTGACTCCTGGTTTGGACTTGGAAACGACAGATAGTTCTGATGAGACAGTGATTAGAATCCAGATTCCCACCCAGTGTGGCCGGTGGGTGTTTTTGATGTTTGTTGGCACCTGCCATTTCACATTGCTGGTCAGGCCTCGCTTATCTGTATTGGAGATGGTGTTACTTTGTTGGGGATTTACTTTTTGAAACAGTGTGTATTGGTTTGGGGGCTTACTCCTGGCTCTGCAGGTGCCATCTGGAGTGTTGGAAAGTGAACCTGGGTTGGCTGCGTGCAAGGCAAGTGCTCTCTCCACCGTGCTGTTGCTCTGCCCACCTGTGTGTGTATTTTGAAGGAGAGAAGTTCAGGACTGGCGACCTGCTGTGCTAAAGTCAAGGCTAAAAGGGAAATGAGATAGTCACTGGTTGATGACCTCGGGCAGTTTGATTTGTATGGACGAGTGTGCCATAAGGACTGTCACTTTCACTGTCCTCCTGTTGTTCATCGATTTGCTCAAGTGGGCCCAGTAACATTGTGAGACTTGTTGCTGTGTTTGGCATATCGAGTACGTCACAGGGAGCTTGCCAGTCTTTGTGGTGCGGGCGAGATATTCTCGGTAGCTTGCTGGGCTCTCCAAGAGGGGTGGAGGAATTGAACCCGGCTCCGCACAAGGCAAATGCCCTACCCTCTGTGCTATCACTCCAGTCCAGTCAGCCGTAAGGATTAACATACTAAAATCTTGGTTTCCCTAAGAAGTCATTTCTTGATTCATCTGTTGAATCCTTTGTAGGAAATTTAACTGTCGGTGCTGGGGCATTGCTTGATTACCTGTTTAATTTTCCAGATTCAAAAAGGTTTTTCTGCTGGAGGTGAAATTTATGAGGAATAAATTTTAGTAACTAATAAGGTACTCACATGATGATTGTTACTATAGGCTGAGAACTCATCGTGTTTTACTTAAACTGGAGGTATTTGGCTAAATTAAGCTTTTATTTATTTTTTTGCTTTTTGGGTCACACCCAGCGATGCTCAGGGATTACTCCTGGGTCTGCACTCAGGAATTACTCCTGGCGGTTCTTGGGGGACCATATGGGATGCCAGGGATTGAAATCAGGTCGGCTACATGCAAGGCAAAAAGCCCTACCCATTGTACTATCTTCACTCTGACTTAAGCTTTTATATTTTGTTGCTATAGACTGTTGGGGGGAGGGGTCATGGGGCACTTTGGTGGGGTGCAGTAACTTTGTACATCAACACTATAAACGTTAGCTCTATTGTAACCATATTCCCTAAACTATAATACAAAAAGTTAGTGTTCATTCAGCCAGTTCAGCCAATGTAGGTTTTCACTTTGCAGTGCCAGGGATCAAACTCAGGGCCTCACATCTGCAAGGCAAGTACTTGCTCAACCACTGAGTTACATACCGTAGCTCATTATGTGTGTTGTTTTTTGGTGTTTGCTCATACCTGCTAATGCTGGGGCTCCTCTCAGCTCTGTGCTGAGGGCTGTTCCTGGCAGTGTCCAGGGACCATGCAGTTGTGAGTGTGGACCCTGGGCCTCCTGCATGCAGAGCTCACCCTCAGCACATTATCTTTCTCTGGGCCCTGTGTAGTCATTTGGTGAAATGCTTTGCCAGCACATTGAGAAGGATTGTATAATATATAAGAAAGAAATTATATAAAAATATATAATATAAAAGAAAGTCTTTTCAGCAGCAGGGATCAAACCCAGGGCCTGACATGTGCCAAATGTGAGTTCTACCACAGAGCCACAACCCAGTCCTGGCCCTGTAAGCAATCTTAATTGGGCTTTTTGTAACGTTCTTTAGACCATTTTGAGATTAAGCTAAATTGGAATTTAGCAATTTAAAAATTTAAATCCTACTGAAAACAGAATGGTTCTTGCATTTAACTGTTGGTGGTGGTGGTGGTGGTGTGGGGGGGGAGGTTCTGAGAATCCTTACTAGAATTTTGAAATTCGGAACATCTGCAGACTTCAGAGAGCGAAAGTGCTGGTGCTACCCTGAGGAAGTTCGTTTTCAACTTGGTGGTTTTATACTCTGAGGGGTATTTTATGACAGGAGACCAGTTGCACCCATGCCATGAGTGAACGTTGTATTACCTGGAGCAGAAGTTGTTATTCATTTGCTAATGTTTTTTCCCATCAGGGTCGTCCAGATACCCTTTCCATAAAAGTGTAACTCCTGATTTCTACAAGGTGCAGTGGGGA